CAACGGCCTGGTAACAAGCCATTCATTTGATTCAGGTGTGTCGGAACAAGGATGCTTCTAAAAGCTGCAGGATGGTAGCTCTAGAGGACTGGAGTTGGACAGCTGTGATTTAAAGCTTTTGTTATCATGTAAAAAAATATTAGAAAATAAATAATACCATGAAGAGACTAAGCCAATACTGTTTCTCACCCCTTTCCAGCTTTTCCACCATGAGAGTTTACTCTACAAGGCAAAACACATTTGTTTTTAAAAATACAGCACTTAGACTGGAGGGTTGATATTATTTAGTGGGTGTTTTAAAGCAGAGGAACTCTTCAATTATATTCTTCCATTATGAACAAATGCCACGAAAAGTTCAAAACACAAGAGTCGGCGTGTGTCTCGATATCTTTAACTTTCATCAAGTGCTCCATCTAAGTGATCACACTGGTTGATTGTTCCTACCTTCAGATACAAGCCGCCTAAGCCCTCCTGAAATATAAAGAGAGTGATTCTACTTTTAAGTCATAAACATCAAAACAAGCTTGTCAAGCAGAATGTTTGTTCAAAGGTAAAAAGTTAGTTTGGGTTTAAAATGCACCTTCTTACAATGTAAAACATTACAGAGCTTCATTTTTTTATGTCAAGAATTTTGAAGTCCACCACATGTAAAAGGTGTCTCCAGCAGATTTTATTATACAAGTACATGTCTTTACTATATACAACCTATCTGGGGGAGGCCACTTTCAAACCTTCCTCATTTAGTCAGTGGTTGGAGTTCCTAATGAAGATCAAGAATAATACATGCTCTTTTTTTGGTGGTGGTTGGTGGGATGGATTCATCTACATTTGACATTTAGTTGGTGTAAGGTGGATTGATGGCTAGCTGGTTCATTTGATTGTTGATTATGAAGATTTTCTATCAAAAAGAATCATATAATTTTTTTACATTTAAAACCAATAAACACACTGTAAATTTAAAAAAAAAAAGTGTCAGCTACCAGGAACTAATAATTCCTTTGAATACTCCTATAGGGTTTCTTCCACAGCAATGTTTTGTACAGCAGGTGGCGACCCTTCAGATGCTGTCACTTCACACATGACCATCAACTACTGCTAACATGGTTGCTAGCTGGTTTGTACATGCTTTTTAGATCGTACAGCAAGACACCAGAAGATCGCTATTGGTGAATAAGGATTAGCCTTTATTCGTGTTTGGAGGGGGGAAAAGACCACATATGCCATCATCCCTGTGGACAGCACACAATACTGGTGAGGAGCCGGGGTAGTGTCGAGCTCATGGGATTTGCAGTTTATAACAGTCAGTCACAACAAGAGGAAGTTAGCTGAGAATCCACAAAGTTGAAGAAGAAATAACAAGGCTGTGTACATTATTGTTATCATCATCGTTATTGTTGTCATTATTACCCGCAATGCCGTTTTATCACACAGCAGCAGACTGTCACTGCTGCCACATGAAGAGCAGGCCTCAAACACCCGCCAGAAAAAGTTGTACCACGCAAAACAACACAGTTACATAGAAAAATAGCACTGTCAAAAAGTTTCAGAAAGGTCTGTGAAGAAATCCCCAAATCCAAGATATCAAAAGAAAAAAAGATGACTTCCTTCTTCCAACAACTGATGGAAGTGTAAGAAGCTCTGAGTTTCTTCCAGGGATCTAAATTCAAAAGTTTGTGTCTCAGGTTTAAACATGTTCCCCCCAAAAAAGAAGACAAGGGAAAGGAAAACATACAGTACATACTGTATATCAAAGCTAGACCTACAACTCCCATTATACACCTGTGGCTTGATTAAGTCTTTGTGGATGAGGCCAGCAGCAAACAGGCTCATGGGATATGTGAAAGTCGGCCTTGGGAATGGAAAATATAGTTATGTCAGGCTAAAATCACCTGAAGAAAAAAAGCTGTTGCATAAAACAACAAAAGAAATATCAAGAACAATCATAATACTTGCAAGTGTGACTGTATAGCAGGTAACAAGAGCTAAGGTTTCAGTGCTCTCTGTAAATTAAAACAGTTCTATATAACAGTCAGCTAAGCCCCTCCCCCATTCAGTCACTGTCCAATCACAGCCTAGCACATGTAGCGAATTCAGCCTGTCAAATTTTTTGAGTTCTTAGTATAGTGAAACAAACATTTGAAGAGTTTTTAATTGCCTTTGAGGAATTAAATTAAATATGGAGGAAATTAGCAGATGCTGTGGGTTTTTTTTTTTAGACACACTAAAATAGTCCAGACTGGCTGGGCTACTTGAATTTCAAGGGGTGTGTGCTCATATTTGGTCTAAACAGGAGGGAGGAACTAGGAACTAGAGTTCAACACATCCAGGGTTTGTTGCGTTATCTGGCTCAGCAAAACCTAAAGCTTCAGTCGAATATAACAGCCATCACAATAAGGTTATTGACTTCCTGCTCCAGGCTCAAAATGGGCATTTTGCAGGTCATATGATTTTTCATCTGCACAAAATGATCCCTTATGAGTCCTGCCCACTCTGATCAGATGTCATCAGATGATGAGAAAATGGTAATAAAATTCTATAAAAATATTTACGAATAAAACCAGAGTATAATCCTGCAAAAATCATTAATCTTGGCATTTAGCTCATAAAGAAGGAAAAACATTTTAATTCAAGTTAATTACTTGGTGCTGTTGTCTATTTTTAAGGTGATGGCTGCACATTAGCGTCTCAAACTTTTCACTGGACACATTCCAGTATTACAACAGTAATCTTTTGTATAGTAGGAGGCGAACATTAAATCAGCTAATGTCACAGGCCTACACTTGGGTAAATTTGTATTGTTTTTAGTTTCAGTTAGTTTGACCTATTTTATAGTTAAAACTGTCAGACTGGGATTTTAGGTTTTCTTACCCCTGAAAAAGAAGTTTCCAGAAGTACCAGTTTCATTTCAGCTTCGTTTTAATGTTAACAAGCTGTTAGCTAGGTTGATATTAGCTACAGCTAATTAATCTCCCAGAATTTAAGTTTTTCTGCTTTAATTTTACAGGGAGGAAACATGGCGTTCAGAAATGTATTACATTTAATTAAATGGCATTCGAAACACAGTTTCAGAACTTCTTTTGCTGTGTGCATAGACATTATATAAGACGGACGTAGCTTCCATGTTGGAAAAAGTAGCTAATGCAGAATTATCCAAAATCCTGCATTCTATCTAAAGGCCACTAGATGGCAATAGCTTTGGTCCGATTAAAGTCTACAGGAAAACATCTCTCTAAAGTTTACCACTCAGTTATGGAGAATAAAATGTTGTTGTTTTTTTTAATTCTGTTAATTTTAATCACAATGTGTTTTTGAAATGACTACATGGGGCACACTCATTGGCTACTGGCTTGTGACTGACCGGCAGTTTTAGACTGCAATCGGCATCTTGTCATCACACCTGGTTACAAAGCACCAAGATGGCGAAAACACTCATCAGGAGGCTTCACACAACAGTATATATTGATGATATCTGAGTAGCTACGTTACTCTTTTATACCGTCTATGACTGTGGAGGAAAAATAGTGTTTTTAACCCTATTTTGGGTGGTAGTCACCAGTCTTTTGAAGCAGTTCTTTTTGGATTGGACTGGAGTTTCTACCACTTACAGTTATGGACCTCTCATATGTATTTAGATGGTGGTGTCAAAATAACTCTCTGAAACCAGAAGGTTTTATGCAAAACCCCCTCGGTTAAACTTTACTGTAGAATGCAAAGTGTGACAGGCGTAGCAACAGGGGAGCGAGGCTTAGCCAACTACAGTTAGTCTGTGGAGTTTCTATCCCATGCTGGTGACTTAGTAACAAAAACGGGCTAAAACGGAATCATAACAATAAATTCATACAGCAAACGTAAAATACAACCAAAAAAATAAAAATAATAATAACAAACCAATCCACAAATCCTGTGATCGGATCAAAGATTTTTTTTAGTGTTTCTTATTTTTTAATATGCATATTTAATACCTCAGACAACACCTGAGAAAAAACTGACAAAATGATTCCAATGAGTTTTCTCTGAAATATATTCAATTATGTATATTACAACTATAATCACATAATTCAAGCATATATCATATACACATATATATCTAGTGAGAGAATAGTTTAATAGTCAATAGTACAGTTGTATGGTACAGTAGCAGTAGGGTGCATTTCTCTTTCTCATTGGGTAAAGTTTGAAGGAGAGGTATAGTCAAGTATGTGTGTGAAAATCTAAATATATGATTCATCAATACAATATGCAACAAAAAGAGAGAAAAAATAAAGAATAAGGAATAAAGACAAAGAAAGGGTATAGGCAGTTCAGTACTGTGTTTGAGAAGGTGTGTGTGTGTGCATATGTGTGTGACTATAATTTGTGTGTGTGTGTGTGTGTGTGTCAGGTCGAGGATCAGATTAGATCAGCACCATAAAAGTCCTTAACAACATCAACAACAACAACAATAAGGGTTAAAACCTTGGTGAGGACTGTGTGTGTGTGTGTGTGTGTG